AGCAGTTTGAAATGAAATACGAGTGTGTCGGCCTTTCCTGTCCCTTTTTTTTAGAAACAATTTCCTATCACTGCATGAGGTTCATATGTCTAGATGGTAATCCATGTAACCTGCCAATATCAGCAGTAGAAGTTACCTTGACACAAGCAACTACGTTTGCGCCGGAAGATATGCCGACCAGCAAGCCCTCCTCCCTCGCTATCGACATGGCCTCCTCCGTGCTCACCGTCATGATCTCGTCGATGACCGATGTGTCGAGAACCTCCGGTATGAACCCTGGCCCCGTGCCCTGAATTTTGTGTGACCGTGGTGAACCTCCTGAACACAGGATCAAACAGCAATGTATTTGATTTCTATGCACATCCTTAAGGTTTTATTTTTCTACACTTACTCATTAGTGATTATGGTTGACTAAAAGTCCATGGCTTGAAACTAGCACCATATGCTATGATTAAGAGATTACCTGAAATTACATTGCTTTCTGAAGGTTCCATGCACACTATCTTTATGGATGGATTTTTCATCTTCAGGTACTTTTCTACACCTGTCACTGTCAGTGTGCCTCCTGAGCCAACAGTGGCCACAAACATGTCCACATAGGCTGATAGTTGCCTGCGGTATCTTTGCCTGCGGTCCTAAATTTTGTTCCAGGAAATGATAACAGAGTAAATTCATGCCCAGGAGCATATTGAGAAAATAAAAGATCCATAAATGGTGATAAAAGATAGTTGTAATTTATTAAACATGAAAATATGACATTTCAGATATAAGTACCATTCCGTTTGAAGTGTGCATTCCGGGTTTGCTGGATTGGTGACTTGATTAAGACAGTGAGAATTTGGTATAGTCTTCATCAGCTCCTCCACCTTGCCAATCATTCCTTTAAACCCATATCTGCAGTAAATACTCATCGAAAAAATTATACACTTTAAATACTATATTTGGTTAGATAATGGATAATGGAAGAGCAATTTCTCCCAAGGCATACAAGAGGGACACTTAGAGTACTTGCTAGAGGCAAAAAAATCCTTATTCTCACCTGTTAATATCAGTTCAGCGCTCAAAAATCTCAGTAGCATCTGTTTGTCAAGTGAATATTTTGCAGGCATAACAGCAATAAACCGATAGCCTTTCTGCACAGCGATGAACGCCATCCCAATTCCTTGATTGCCACGTGTTGGCTCGATTAGTGTGGTAACACCAGCTGATATTAATCCCTTCTCCTCTGCATCTTCAATCATCCTGCAGATAAAATGTGCATGCACTCTGGTAAAGAGATAGTTTGCAGTTTGTTACCCAATTTTCTGTTCACTTCAAAAATAGGAACATCATTACAGCCATTTAGGTGGTTAATCTGTTTCGAAAAGAAGAAAAAACGGTTTTGAAAAAATTTAGGTGGTTAAATTCCAGAGACAAAGGTAGCCTGTAGCTATGCTTAGATGATATATGCATCTAGGAACTGCACAACTTTGACTTTAAATTCAAGAAATAAACCAAGTGATTCATAAAATCAATAAAGGGTTGCATTGGCATGCACCGGACAGCGCTCCCATCCTTAACCGAGCAAAGAGTTGGTATGCTTCCATCTTTCCAGCCAACCGAGCTGCCACACCCTCTTTCTTAGCAGTGTTCTTCATTTCTATAAGTGGAGTCCAACCTATGAGCTGAATAAACATATAAAGTAGGCCACCGTAGGTAAACTATTTGAATGCAGGCCTACCTGTCTGTATCAAGAAAAAAAACTGTGCTTAACTAGCTCCCCAATCAAGAACTCTCCCCAAATCCCTCTACTTATCCAAGAAATATAAACCTCTTGTGCCTAAAAACAGTGGAATAAGCTAGTCTTGAGGGAAATTGGCAATCGAGTCCACGTACATCCACATCCCAAGAAGCATCCGAAAATGAGGCACCTAAACCTTGTTTTGGAGCAGATCTGTCACCTGGGTGATGGCCCGGATGATTGGACTAACTACTGCCCTAACTCAAACTTAGGGGATGTTTGGTTTTAGGACTAGTATTGTCACACTTTGCCACACATTTTTGTCAAACTTGACTAAAGTTAGTTTATCAAAATGAGAGCCACAAGTTGGCAAGCCTAAGAGAATCTTGCTACATTTTTTATGTGTATGACATGTGGGGTCCAAGTGTGGCTTGAACCAAACACTCATCTAAGTTGGTCAAACTTGCCTAACTTTAGGTGTGGCAATCTTTGGCAAAGTTAGTCACAAACCAAACAACCACTTAGATGGCGTTTTAAAGGTGTGGGAATATCTGAAGGTACCTCCTCCCGAGTCAAATAACTTCTATGTACAGATCTCATCTCATCTCAAAAGTTTAATGAATGATTTGGTTGGGGTGCGCCGGGCCAAGGCAGCAGTGCAACGCCCAGGCGACACGTGTGGGCCCCAGCAGCAAGCTACTGTGGTGGGCCCACCCCCACAAAAAATAAATTTAATATCGTTGTGGACACATGGCCCACATATCAGATATTAAACTGATAAGAACAGATACTACACTTGATCTTAGCCAAAAGGCCGAGAAAGGTATGAGTTGCAACGCTGAGGCAGGTCTCCTTTTATAGCCATCCGCCCTCCGCGCTCCTCCTCCGTGGGCGATGTGGTACTAAACCTGCCTCCTCCTTCCTCCCCTGCTGTCCCGCGGTGCCACCAGCGCGCACACGCGCTGCTAGTTTGGGCCCAAACTGAGAGCCCATGGCAGGCCTCATGGGGTTACAGCCCGTGATTCTCCCATTCCTTTTCCGTTTCCCCCTTGTGCCTTTCCTTCTCTTCTGTAACAGGCTAAAAAAAAGGCAGTTTGAAATGCATGGCTGAGAGAAATACGAGTATGTCGGCCAATTTCCTGTCCCTTTTTTTGGAGAAACAATTTCCTATCACTGCGTGAGGTTCATATGTCTAAATGTTGTAAATTTCCAGTTTGCCTCTGCCATTAATAATCTTGTAACAAATTCAGTTGCTAGTTGTGTACATTACACAGGTACATACATACACCAACTAGTGGTCAAATGCTCCTAAAAAAACTAGTGGTCAATGAAGACGGAAAATTGGTGATTTATGCACGTAATGTGCTTTGTTGGCCTGCAAAATCCTAGGATGATATGCATGCAGGGGGGTTTGTTTGTAGTATCATGCATAAATTCTTTTTTGAATTATACTGTGACAATGAATTTGTCTCCCAGTGTGCTGCGACTGGAGAAGGAGCCCTCCCAACGGCTGGAAAATCCATGAAAATGACTAATGTTCATCTTGGCAATGTTGTTCATTATGTCTTCAGAAAATAGATGATAACCACGAAGAACTACCCGCGGCTCTGAATGGAATGTATTTCTCCTTTTCTCCAGGAACACTTTGGATCTGAAGTGAAGGAGATGATGGAGTCTTAACACCTCGCTTAAACATACATGCGCGCATTGCGGCGCCTGGCCATGTTATAGAAAATTAAAGATGTTTAAAAATATAAATACAATAAAAGAAAATTTTAACTAACTCATTTAAGAACTGTCTTAAGCCCGTGACAACTTATAAAAAGGTACTATCTCTGTATCGAAACATAAGACGTTTTGTAGGCTAAAATAGCTTACAAAAATATCTTATATTTTGATGCGGAGGGAGTAAAAGCAACGCATAAAGAGTACAACTACAACCACAATTTAGTGGAAGATGACTTATTTATTTATTGAGACGATGAAAGATGAATTGCTGGTGGCTTGAAGCATTGTCCAACCTGTCCAGATGGCATGTGTGCGCCTTCAGGTCAGGCATGTCCATCCGAACATATCGAAACCCATCGGATTGCCTGTCTTAGTAGGTCGCCCTCCATCAATTTCTTGAAACAAGCACCAAAAGAACAGTAGAGCTCAATATCTAGACAAAGCAGGAGAAGAACAACCTATGTGCCCTAACACCAACAAAAAATTGAAGGTGTGCCTAATCATGCAAAGGAATGGAAAAACAACAAACCTAGGTGAAACCCATGGGTGCCGAATATGGCGGACAAAACGATGCTGAAGGAGGATGAATTATTTTTTCCTCCGCCAAGCATGTGATGATGAACATAACCATTTGGGCTACTTCTTGACCCAATTAACGACATGACGCATAGATTAGTTTCCGGAGCGGTGTCCCATTTATGTTGTGCGGGTTGTGACACGCGTTGAGGTGTGGTAAAAATGACGTGGTGAACGACTGAACAATCTGGTATGCTCCCTGTTGTATCCTACGAGTAAATCATGAGCTCAAATCGCCGTGAGAGGCTGTAGGCAGCTGAGTTTTACTTCTTTTTAATAATATTCTCAATTTTCATCTCAACTTATCACAATTTACATGTCTAGGTTTTATTGTTGTTACTCTTATGTAAGTATGGGTGGAGATAGAATAAGATCAGCTGGGTTCCCCGGGGTATATGCCTCTTTTGTTGTTGTTTTTGTTGGACCAACTCATGAGTGCAGGCGGTGGTGTCTGCACTAGTATCAATACAAATAGCCCTCATAGACTTTTCCCCAATGAACATTAGTGTCTGGAACCAACCTATGGTTGGATGGTTAGAGGGACTGTGGTATCCCCAGACACCAGGGTTCAAATCCTGGTGCTCGCATTTATTCCTAAATTTATTTCAGGATTTCCGGCGATGCACATTCAGTGGAAGAAGACGTTCCCTTTGATGACGAGGTGCCTACGGTTACTTCGTAAATTTCAAAATGATATGTCGGCTCAGTCTTTTGGAGGTGCTCATAGGGGTAGGGTGTGCGTGTGTGTGTTCATATGGGTGAGTGTATGCGCGTGTATATGAATGCTTGCGTCTGTATTGTGTTCAAAAAAAGAACAATAGTGTCATTGAGGCTTAGGTCTTACACATGCCAGAAAAGGAATTTTGGCCTCTAAAAGTGCACTTTATCCCTATTGATTTCTGGTGTTGGTGACAATAAAGTTAGTGGGGCTAATGTTGGTTTTCAATTTTATCCCAGTACATTGGTCTTTTAGTGATTTCATTTGCAGATAGTTGACCCCCTATTTTGAAAGGGACAAAATATATGGTTCTTTGAAGACTCAAAGTTTTTTTGTGTTTATCTGATTGCTACGGAAACCACACTATTAATAGGTATCGAGGTGCTCGACGAATTTTAGGGATCATGCTAAACATATACACATTGCCATCCCATGCGCCAATTCGGAAAAGGGTAAAACCATTGATGTGTTGTTATTGGGACCCCGGGTCCCCGGAGTCCGGATTTACTCTCTGTGTACTCCGAGTGCCCGGTCCACCAGGCCCTTGGCCCCCAAATGTTGGAGATATGCCCTAGAGGCAATCATGTATGATGATATTTCCTATGTGTTTATGAACAAAGATAGTCCTTGAATATTATCAATGATGTGTATCAGCAAGCACGTGACTTGTTTGTGGGACTATGCATCGTATGATGACTATCCTAAAAGGCCCCTAGTCGGAAGGGTTGTGTGGACGTGCAGCCGACTAGACTAGCATATGACACGGTGGATGACTCGTCTCACTAGCCATGTAGCATTGGATATTAGTCGGATAATATGGACTTGAAAGGATCTGGTCAGATTCGACATAGTCGAATCTGAGTCCACATAAGGTCCGAGTCGGACATACGCGACTATGAGACGTAGTGATAGGTCATCTGTGAGTCTCTAGTACAACACATGTTCTATGTTCCAAGACCTGAGCTGGCGCATGTACTCGGGATGGTGACAGGCCTGCTTTGGGGCGACCAAACGGTACTCCGTAACTGGGTAGTTATAAAGGTCGGTTTCGGACTTGTTCAGACCCGTGCTGCAAGACATGGTCGAGCAAGATGGGATTTGTCCCTCCGATCAGGAGAGATATACATTGGGCCCCTCGTGTGATCTGACCAAGATGATAAGCATGGCCATGCGACAAGGATTATGAGATATACTTTGCCCCCTCATGTAATCCGACCAAAATAAGCACGACACACGCATTCGACTGGTCGGTTCTGCATCGTCACTAGGGCTTTGCACGTGTTGCAACTAGCCACCTCCACTCACTGTTGGCTGTGTAATCGGACCAAGCAGTCTGTCACACGGTGTTCCTCCTGCACGCGCGGATA